CGGCGACATGCAGCGCCTCAGCAGCGCCGCCCCCGGGTGGCAGGAGGTGAGCCCGCTCGCCTGTGGAGGCGCGACGGGCGCTCCTCCCCGGTGATGCCGGGTTTGCCTTTTCTCCCAAAAAAGCTCGGGTGCTTCAGAATACCGCAGACATCTGGGGAAATCTGCTATTTTCTTTGTTTCGTTATGCAGTTATGGCAAACTAGCTGCTTGTTAATGAACAGTAATCTGTACTCTCCCGTGATTCGTGAACCGAGCGCAGCAGGGGGTTCCTTCAGGAAAACACACCTGGACCTCGACCTGTGTTAATTCTGTCCTGTAAAAAGAAAGTAAAGGCCCACTGGACGTTTCTCTAATTTCCCATTCCCAGTTGCTCTTCGTGTTGTCGGTGTGTCGCTATACTGCTTTTATATGCCCAGCTGATGAACAGTCTCCCTCCTAAGGGCCTGATTAGCTCAAATAAATCGAATTCGCGTATGTGCCATTCAGGATAGCAGATGGAAGTGCATAGTCAGCCTCTGCTACACAGCAGACAGCCTAAGCTCGTCTGTTTGTACCGGTGGTATATATGCCAAGTGAGTTTTGGGGCTCTTATTTGTGACTGGTATAATGTACTTACACATACTTAGGTAAAAGCAGATACCAACGTCTTGAAATATCACCAAAGTCCCTGAAGTGAATTCCCAATAATTTCCAGTTATTCTTACAAAGCACAGTTGCTAGCTTTACCAGTTTGATACAACTAGTTACAAAGACGTTGCTGGAGTTAAGCTCTGTTAGCTAATTTTTTATAAGGAAAAGCGTTGTAAGCATCTGTGATGTGCTCGTATCTAATTGTAGTCAAAGCTGATGGTAACCAGTTCATTCTAATGATGGGGTACTCTCAAGAAACGGCTTATGTCACACCGCAAAATACCGAATACTACAGTTTCACAGATCTGTGGGCACTACTTATCTTATAGGATAAGGCCAAAATTACTTTTAAGAATTATTCTACCTCAGATGTACACTCTTCCTATTTGCTTTTTCTCTCATCCTACTTCCCCACCATCTGTTTAGTGCTAACATTTTAATTCACTGCTTCAGTCTGAGTAACTTCATCTGACTTACAGAATCACTGTTTACATAGCTGCAGCTGAACGAAAAAGAATGGTTGTAGTATCTATAAAAGAAGGAGAAGTAGAATCAAATGTATGCTACTACTGCATACATTCTGTTCTGCTGTCTGACAGCACGGAGAGATAAATTTTACAAAAAGTTTTGTTTAATGATACTTAGTAATGGAAGTATCATGGGTATTAAGCCCAAATGCTGAGGTTGTTAATTAGTTACCTACATAATGACAGGCTGTAACAGCAGACAATGTGGACACCAGCCTGTGGAATTTTTAGTTTATTTCAGCTGCAGAGCAAAAAAAAATCATGAAGCAGGTACATTTATATTGTTCATAGTATGTTTCTTCCTGTTAATAATGAATCATGTCTTTGGTTATAATTTGTATATAAGCAGATGTATACTTGCATATTTCCATTCTTTTTTTAACGAATACATCTTTTCAGAATAAATTTTTATGTTCTTGTGCCATCCACAAGATGGCCCTCGATCTCTTTTTCATTATCTGCAGGTTTGGGAACAGGGCTTACAATCTTAGAACAGGTCTCGAGAAACAGTAAGTCAGATAAATATTTGCTGAAGAGCAATGTGGTTAGTAATTTCACAGAAGTCTTACTGACAACTTATTTCTCATCCTGTCAAATGGTTGTTAATCCATTTTCTCAGTCGTGATGGGTTGCTGTGATCCAGCTTAAAATTATTCATCCTTGACACTGGACATGTTTTTCTTTTGTATAAATTTTACCTAGTTCAGCTTGGAGGGAGGATTTTACATAAGTAGAATTTAATTACCCATGTTCAAATTTAGTAGACATGTTTCTTCAAGAAGTGAAGTTGAATTTTAGTCACAAACATGTACGCCAAGAAAAGCGGTTTGATAGCTCATACCTGTGGTTAGACAACTCGGGCACTGTTTCACACAGCTGGAAAGGAATTTCTGCTCTGCACTGATGCTGCATTTTTTTAGAGCTATTGTTGTCACTGAAAAGTCTTGAAGTATTTTTTCTACTGTACGTAATAGCCTTATAAACCAGAATACAGAAGAGAGAGCAGGTGTCATGTCATCTGTGTGGGCTTGCTTTTCTACAGGAATAGTCTGCATCGGCCCTCACTGCTATACTCTTTACAGAAAACTGTTAATTTTCAAGCTGCAAGGGAGAAACCTTTCTTACCTATGTAATAGCATCAGAAAGAGGAGAAGATGAAAGTGATGGCTCTAGTGTCTCGCACTTCAGGGACGAGGTATCAAAGGAAATGGCTGCAATGTTTTTTCCTGCTTGTCCATTGTTGTTCATTAGGCTCAATCTCTTCCTGCTGTCCCAGGGCTGTGCGCCGATATGACAAGGAGGCCTTGAGCAATGTGCTGGAAAGACGGGTTGCCATTACAGCCTTGTTCACACACTAAGCAATGACTGAGCAAACAGGAAAGGTTCTGGTGGAAATTTCTCACTCTTTAAAAGGAACCAGATGTTTATACTCCTGCCATCACCAATACGCAATGCTGTCTCCCAAGCGCATGCAGGGCATGCCTGCATTCATTACAGCACTGCCATCTGTACAAGGCAACTGTATTGGGAGCCTTGCAGAAGACATAGTAGTCAAGGAATTTGTGATCTTGAGCAAGCCATGCCTACTGGGCCTCGTACTTAAGGCCCACATGTTAGCACTGATAGACGCCGTAAGGGAACCTGTGGGAGTCACCCATGCTGGCCTGTGCTGCCTGCTAGT